AAGCTAGCTAAAAAAAATTGAATTTTGTTTGGATCTATAACCATTTTATTTAAAGTAAACCATGATATCGCATTTGATGTTTCTATTTGAAGACGAGCCATAACACTCTCTAGGTTTTTGTCACAAACAAAAAGAGTGTTGTCATTAGCATAGTTGCAGATTTCAGAGTCTTTTATAAATAAAAAAAAATTGTTGATAAAAATATCAAAGAAAATTGGTCCAAAAATTGAGCCTTGAGGTACACCAGATTCCATATCTAAAAATTCAGAAAATGACAATCCTAGTCTTACTCTGTGTTTGCGAGCAGGAAGGTAAGATAATAAGAGTTTGAGGCTATCGTAATAAAACCCATAACTTCTAAGTTATAAGTAAATCATGTGGAATTGAATCATATGTCTTTAATAAATCCATAAGCATAGCGCCAACTATACCTCCTTTATCTAAACATTCTTGCCACTTATTATCTAAATTAAAAAGTGCGTGCTGTGCACTTTAACCTCTCCAATACCCACACACCAATTTGTTGAGGCTTAGCTCTATAAAAACCCGTATTTTCTCGTAAATAACTATCTCATACACTTTTGAGAGAACTGACAAAATACTTATTGGGCGTATCAGTAGGGTAATTTTTTTAAAAACATGGTGTGACATCAGCCGTTTTTAAGAAGGACGGAAATTTGCCTTGGGATATGCAATTATTTATAAAAGATCTTATATTTATACAAGATTTATTGAAGATTTATACAAGACTTTCTCTAAAATCTATGACATAAATTTTAACATTAACGTTGGAATATCTCTACTAGTCTTCTTTTTACTATTTAAAGAATAAATAATTTTCTTTCATCATCGGGAATAATTTAATGAATTTTAAAATTTTGAGGATACAATTTGGATTTGCTTTTAATGTTTATGATACTGGGATGGTTTGCATATATTATAATAGCAGATTCAACAGACACATGTACATTGTAAGGAGAAGGACCTCTTTTTCTCATATATAAATAATCTTTATAATGCCTCAAATTTAAAAACAGTGATATTTGCTGATGACACAAACTTTTTTCTGTATAGCAATAATATCATAACACTATTTAATGACACAAACATTGAGCTAATTAAAACTTTAAAATGGTTCAAGTCAAATAAGTTATCAATTAATATAGAAAAAAGTAAATGGACTCTTTTTCATCCAAAATCCAGAAAATATCGTTTGCCAAATGATATGCCTCAAATATATATATATAGATAATATTCAAATAAAACAATCAAAAGTTATACTTTTACTTGGAGTTCTTATTGATGAAAATCTTACACGGAAAAATTATATTGAAACCTTGCGCAACAAAGTTTCAAAAAATATTGGAGTATTAATATAATATTAATTAATATATATTAATATAGTATAAAATATTATATAAAGCGAGAACTTTTGTAAATAAACACGCATTAATTCAACGTTCAATTTTAACGCTCTTTGCTTTATATTTAAATGTAAGATAAACTTAACTCCTATATCTTTTCAAAAATTATTTGCTATAAAGACCAAATATAAAGCGAGAACTTTTGTAAATAAACACGCATTAATTCAACGTTCAATTTTAACGCTCTTTGCTTTATATTTAAATGTAAGATAAACTTAACTCCTATATCTTTTCAAAAATTATTTGCTATAAAGCCCAAATACAAATATGGTCTAAGAAATGACAATTTTATTTATCAACATTATTCTCATACAAATTTTGGAAAGTCTCTTAAATCTTATTGCGGAGCTTTTTTGTGGAACCAAAAAATAGTTTTAAAAAGTTTTAAAAAACACGTTAACACGGACCAGACTTAATAAAATGAAACAAACCAAAAAAGTTGCACTTGCTTTGTCCTCTGCAAAATGGCACTTGTCAACGAAATTCTGCCTGTGTGCTGTCACCTGTCAGCTGATTGCTCATGTCATGGAATGCTATTACTCCAGAATCCTGAACTGTTTGCTGTGGTAGTATAGTTCGTTTCGTTTTTAAGACATGTAAAATTAGGAACACTTTTTAGCATTGTTTGATGTTGGCTGCAAATATTTTGTCCAATACTGTATATATATATATATATATATATATATATATATATATATATATATATATATATATATATATATATATATATATATATATATATATAAATTTGCTACTAACCAGGAAATTTGTTTTTTTTAAGATGTCAGATCGTAAAACTGACATCTTAAAAGTAATTAAATTTTAGTCCGATTTTAATGTTATTTGTGTCTAAACAGATATGAAAAAGAAAAAAGCGGCATTAAGACTAACTATTTGTTTTGTAAAGTTACATATTCATTTTGAAACATATATTTACAGTATAAAAATCTAATTCTTAAATAATCAAATTCCAATAAAGCTTAGGCATTATTAGTCTATGAGTCATCCTGCTGCTAACAAATCCATCTCTTCTCTCAAATCCACAAACAGATGCAGATGCATCTGTCACCTTTTTTACCGCTCTTTCACAAGACTGTGTGTAGGGGAAAGAAAGTTGCTTCTCTAAGAAATTGTCAAGATCTTTTGTAGGTATTTGACAAGTAAATACAGTTTCTGATTTATCTTCTTTGTCCAAGTGAATCTGATCTGGTATGGATATAGCTCCCAGATTGAGTAGGACCTTCCTCCTTGGCTTGAATCAAGTTTTTCCATACTCCAAGTCTTTCCGTATTTCTTTGATAGTTTTAATGGCAAACCTCCTAGATTTCTTATCTGAGCTTGCTAAAAGGGAAAGAATCAATTATTCAGAATGAGCAAAATAAGCTCCATTTTTTATGTACTGAGTAGCAATTTAATTTATCTCATCTTCCTTTTTCTCAGCAGTTTTAATAGTGTTACTATGTGTTCCGGGGCCTCAATAATACTGTGTTTCACTTTGATTTTATACCACATGTGAATTTACACTTAAACCCGTTTTAAAATTAAGTGAAATCTTCTTAGAACATCATCAGTAAAGCCATGGTTACTAATATAGAGAAAAATAAAAGCTTCTTGAGTTGTAAGCCATTTATTATTTGAAACACATTAGCCTTTTTGGGTCCATCTTGCCTATAGTCAAACATGCATGAAATCAGTTTATGGCAGAGTGATAAATATGCTGACATTGAACTTTGAGTTTTTTCAGGGATTTGAAATAATGGTTTTACAATAGGTTCAAATGTATCAAGTTTTTCCATGCTGTTCATATTGGTCCAGTGAAACCAACATTTGAACAACATTTTTGGTGGTCCATCCAGAGCAACAAAATGAGCTTCCTTTAAGGCACACAGAGTGTGCCTCAAAGGAAGCTCATTGCAATGTAGCATACAAATAGACTAGAAACAGTTTTTACCGAACAATTGTTCCAAATTTTTCAACAAACTTCCATCTTTTCCTGAACTAGTAACAGTGATTGTTAAATCTTCTCCTATTACTACTAGAGTTTTATGTAATCTCCAAGGAACTATCCAATTAAATAGTCTCCGAGGAACTATCCAATTAATAGCTATTTGTTTAGCAGAATTATTGTGAGGTATTGTCTTCATGGGTGTAAAATGTGTAATATAGTGACTGTCAGGTCCAGAATAATGTGTTTTTATTTCATAACCCATTGATGAAATCGTTTTGTGATAAGGTTATGCTTTAAAAATCTTTTCTGCCATGAGCAAATATACCTTTGATAGGTTGTACTTGAATCTTTATTTCTTCAGATGTCTTTGCTTTAGTCATTACTGCTTTCTTAGCTCTAGCAACTTTTTTAAGATCTACAGCCATATAGGACAATATTTCTGCAACCTTTAAATGTGACTTTTCATTACATACTTGTCAATATCTTTTTAACGAGCAAACATTCTTGTATTAAAAGATCCTTCCTCAAGATATCTCTAACAGTAGGTTAAATAACAAGATATCTCTAACAGTAGGTTAAATAACAAGATATCTCTAACAGTAGGTTAAATAACAAGATATCTCTAACAGTAGGTTAAATAACAAGATATCTCTAACAGTAGGTTAAATTTTTCTTAAGGGTTAAGATTATTACTTTCACCCAAATACAGTGAAAACTTTTTAGGTACGTTAGAAGATTCTACTTTATCCTAAATGAATTTAGGTACGTTAGAAGCACTCATTCTTCCTACTAATATTAGATAAATACTAAAAATTAACAAAACTAGAATTGACCAAATAAATATACAGAGCCAACAATGCAGTTATCAAAATTAGAGGGAGTTTTGTAGTAGTTGATGATTGTGGGAGGACACAATCATCAACTACTAAAAAAAGGTCCTTCATTTCTAAAAATTTCAAAACTTTTATTAAAAAAAAAGTCCTTTATAGAAGGTGTGTGGGTGTGGGTGGGGTGGGGTGGGGGGTGGGGTGGGTGTAGGGGGAAGAGGGACCAAGACCCCTGATCCTCTGACGTCATTAGCCCTGAATTAATCTTAATTATATTAATGACAATCATGTTACAATTTTTTAATTATTTATTAAACACAAAGAACATCAAAATTGAAATAAACTCACTGAGATGCGATTTTTTTAAATTTGTGAATTTTTATTATCTGACACCTTAGTAAAAAAAAGTGTTCCCCGGTAGGTAAAAAATTTTTTTTTCGAATTTTAAATTATTAAATTTATTAGCACTATAATACTGATGCTAGAAGTTTCTCTGCTTATTTTTGCTTTAATTGACTAAGCTTATCTATATATCTATATATATATATATATATATATATATATATATATATATATATATATATATATATATATATATATATATATATATATATATATATATATATATATATATATATATATATATATATATATATATGTATATATATATATATATATATATATATATATATATATATATGTATATATATATATATATATATATATATATATATATATATATATATATATATATATATATATATATATATATATATAAAGTTTGAATTAATAGCCTATTAACAAAAAACAATTCTCTGATTTCCATTGCTATAGCAAATTAAAAGTCTATGGAGTTTCTAAGGATCATCTATTAGCGGAGTTTCAGCAATACATTTTTTAGTCAATATGACTCATAATATTGTTAATAGAACTGAATATTACATCTATTTATAATTTAAAAAATCAGCTTTATCGCTGATGATTATTCAATGAAACATTTATCTGAATATCTTTAGAACTTCTAAGGTAGCTTTACGTTTATGCTTGTATTGTAATTAAAAATGCACAACTTGTGTATTACGTTCGCGAATCGATAAAATTCTTCGGTCAGATATGATGCAAGCTGTGTTGATTGTTCTAGAATTTTAAAATTCAATGAAGCAGTTATTGATTTTTAGGCTTGATGCAAACATTATTTATTGTTACATCAAATGCAATAGCTTAAGATTTTCATTTTTTATAAATTTACTTTTAGTTAAACATATTTAGACGTGATAAACTTTCCATACTTGATTTGCTGACAAAATGGATCTAATTAACTTTAGGGGGTAATCTTCTCTCTTACAGTGATACAAAAAGTATACAAAGGCAATAATGCATATAGTATATAGAGATAAACAAGTTGATGTATGACATTTTTGACTCACCATCCAAAAAACTAACACTAAAAATGCCAACACAATTAAAGTATACAGGGTAAATGCATACACCATAAAGTCAAAGCTGTTTTTAGGAAATGTCCACTAAATAAAAACAAAAATATAATCGTAAATTAAAGATATATCTAAATATTTCTTTAAAAATAACTGACTTTTATTCACACACACATACACACATACATATATTAATAGAATATATATATATTAATAGAATATATATATATTAGTAGAATATATATATATTAGTAGAGTATATATATATTAATAGAATATATATATATATATATATATATATATATATATATATATATATATATATATATATATATATATATATATATATATATATATATATATATATATATATATATATATATATGTATATATAAAGGGTGTGGAGAATTAAAAAAAAAGTAATAACTCCGACTCCGACTCCAGTTGTTTAAATTTTTCGAGTACAACTTCGACTCCAACTCCAGTTGTTTAAATTCTGCAACTCCGATTCCGACTCCGACTCCACAGCCCTGATATATATATAAATATATATATATATATATATATATATATATATATATATATATATATATATATATATATATACATATATATATATATATATATATATATATATATATATATATATATATATATATATATATATATATATATATATATATATATATATCTATATATATATATCTATATATATATATATATATATATATATATATATATATATATATATATATATATATATATATATATATATATATATATATATATATATATATATATATATATATATATATATATATATACAGAACAAACAACGGTAATTTTCACCTAACACCGCGTAATTGTACCATGCATTTTTAAGCACTCATTTATACGATTTGGCATCGAGTCTATCAAATTCTCTAAAATAAGTTTGGAAATATTTCCAAGTATTGTTGGTAAAATATTGCGCAACTCCTCAAGGCTCCTGGTGCTTTCTTGGAAATCTCTTTATTAAACCAACTCTAAAGTTTTTCAATGCAATTTAGATTTAAGCTATTTAATGGCCAAGTTAGACGCTTAACATTTATCCTTTCGAATCATTCAGAAACAATTTTAGCCCTGTAACATGGTGCATTGTCTTGCTGAAAAATGAACGGAACGCTTTGCTCAAGTGTATCAATTGATGGTAACAAGTTGTTATTAAAATATCGACGTAATAAATAGAGTTAAGTCGACCATCAAATAATTTCTTTCTCTTTTCTACAAATACTATCATGGTCACTGCTCAAAGGAGTTATCATCTCTATTTCCATCTCTTAAAATTCATTCTCGTTTTACTCGTCATTCAGCTAATTCTCATTCGTTTACTGTATCTGTCCCTGCATGCACTAAAAACTTTTATTCATCTAGTTTTTTTCCCCGCACTTCAACCCTTTGGAACTCTTTCCCATCTTCATGTTTTCCTGACTCATACAACCTTCAACTTTTCAAGTCATCTGTCAACCGTTTCCTTGCTCTATAACTCTTTTTTTTCCTAGTAACTCCCAACTTAATAGTGGTTGCTTGCAGCCTTGTTCGGAGTGAATGCAAATTTAAAAAAAAAAAAAAAAATTTAAACATACCGTTTTTTTAAACATATTTAAAAAGACCATAATATGTCATGCATCACCATATTACAAACGACCTGCTACCTTGTTTTGTTCTTTAAACGATACAATCGAGATTATATTTTTCTGAAGGGTGCCTTCGAATCATAATTCGATTTTTTCGGTCATCAACCTCGATGTTAATCTCATCACTAAACATTACTATTCTCCATTTTTCTTTTGACCATTCTTTGACACTTTGGCAAAGTTATTTTTGCTTTTTGATATGTTGTTTGGTGAGTCGCGGTTTTAGAACAGCTTTTTTGATATGTTGTTTGTTGAGTCGCGGTTTTAGAACAGCTTTTTCGCGCTTTTTTTCCGTAGCATATTTTTAGCTATTAGTTTTCTACGCACAAGTGATGCTGATGCTTGACGTCCATTTGAAACCTTACATTCTCTTCTTAATTTATGCGACGGCATGGTTCGATTTTTCTTTACCTACCTAATTAAAAGGCGATCATTATTGGGTGTCGTCAAACGCAATCTTCCAGAAAGAAGGCGATCAACGTAAGATTTCGTTTCTTTGAATCTTCTGACGATTGTTAGCACAGAACTATATGATCGTGTTATTATTTTTCCAATTTCACGAGCGGTTTTACCTTCCTGGTGAAAATGCATTACTTTTACACGATCTTCATTGGTAATAGCTTTTCTGCTCATATTTTCAAAAGAAAAGAATTTTTTTTGTTTGAAATTAAATTTTTTTAATACTATTGGTTTTTTGGCAACGAATCAGGTCAATAATAGAACATTTAAATAAGAAGGTAAAAATCAATTCAAAAAAGTCGTTTTGACTGGATTTAGCACAAAAAATTCTTTGTGGTTCTTAATTTTTTCAGAAAAAAAAAAATTGAAAAAACTTAACACATAATATTTAGTCCTTATTTTTATAGGTTCTACTTTTTAAATTAAAAAAAAAAATCTTTTTTTCCTCATGTTCTATATGTTTGAAAAAAAGACTGTCTTATCTTTAGAATAAAAATATATTTTATTTGAAAAATTTTTTTTTTTTAATTTAACTTTTGGTTAAATTAAAAAAAAAAAATTTTTCAAATAAAATATATTTTATTTGAAAAATGAGGTTCTTAACTTTTTCGCAATACTGTATATATATATATATATATATATATATATATATATATATATATATATATATATATATATATATATATATATATATATATATATATATATATATATATATATATATATATATATATATATATATATATAGAGAGAGAGAGAGAGAGAGAGAGAGAGAGAGAGAGAGAGAAAGAGAGAGAGGCGCCTCACAGGAAAAGGTACCAAGTCTTAGCTTCTAGATTCGGAATTTTTTTTTTTTTAATATTTTTTAAAAATATGTTCAAAAATTTTTCAAATTTTGAACATATTTTTAAGAAAAATATGTTCAAAAATTTGAAACTAACTTTATTCTTTTTTCGGGCAGTTTTATCATTATTTAATAATAGTTTTTGAAATAAACAATCAAAATATACATTAACTTCATTACTATGTGAAAGTTACATACTTTTAAAGTATGTTAAACTTTCTAAGTTATTTTTTACTGTAATTTCATTTTTAAAACACTTCCTTGAAAAACTATGTAGATTTTTCAATAATGATGCTATTAAGCTAAATTTTGTTTTATCTTGTGGCTTATTCCTAACTCTATGCAACTGTTTCAGTAACTCTATTTCTAAGACTTGGTACCTTTTGCTGTGAGACACTTCAAATATATATATATATATATATATATATATATATATATATATATATATATATATATATATATATATATATATATATATATATATATATATATATATATATATATATATATATATATATATATATATATATATATATATATATATATATATATATATATATATATATATATATATATATAGTTTTTATAGGTTTAAATATACCTTATAAATTGGTTTATATCCCAAAGGTTTTACAACAACTTCGGATAAACAAATCTCACATGTAGATTTCACACCTAAATTTTTTTCTGTTGGTTGTGTAAGCCATTTTACTATACAGCTTTCATGAACATATTTCATTGTTCCTGAACATTCGCAAGGTGCTATTAAGTTATCGCTATTCTCTAAGCAAATACGACAAATGTCAACGACTGACGTTAGTTTTTCTATTCCTTGATGTTCCCCATCATCAAGATGAATAACAAAGTTATTGTCTGTTTCCTTGTATTCACTATTTTTTTCAAAAGAAATGTCTAATTTATTGGAGAACTGCTTACACGAACTGAGACTTTCGATTGTCTCAGTAAAATTTGCATGTTTATTTTCGATACAAATATTTTCAATCGACATTTTAAAACTGCTTTTAAAATATTCAAATATTATAAAAGACAACTATATATAAAACTATTTTATTAAGAACTAAATAATAGAAATCTATATCGAAATATTTATTTTCTATTTTTATCTGATTTGTTACATCCGTCATTTCATTAAAACGTGATTATAATATCCGAAGCACAGTTTATTCTAACATTAGTATCGGTAGTTTTTTTTTTTTTGCATTTCTCTTTAATTACGTATATTCAATGGAATGTTTATGATTTTGAAAAGTTACGTTAAAAACGAATGTCGAGAATATTGTCGGTAATTCTTCGGTTAATTGTAAGTTTAATTAAAATCTTTATTTGTAAAGCTTTTGTTGTTCTATTAATACTTTTTATAAATTGTAA